TTCCTCACTATGGGGACAAGCTTTCTCGCTCTGAGGACAAGGGTTCTCACTCTGAATGGAAGTCCCTCACACTGAGGACAAGGTTCCTCACTCTGAATACAGGTTCCTCTCGCTAAGGGGAAGGTTCCTCACTGTTACGAGGACAAGGTTCCTCACTCCGAGGGCGGAGTTCCTCACTCTGAAGACAAGGTTCCGTACTCTGAGGAAAAGGTACCTCACCCTGAGGGCAAGGTTCCTCACTATGGGGACAAGCTTTCTCGCTCTGAGGACAAGGGTTCTCACTCTGAATGGAAGTCCCTCACACTGAGGACAAGGTTCCTCACTCTGAATACAGGTTCCTCTCGCTAAGGGGAAGGTTCCTCACTGTTACGAGGACAAGGTTCCTCACTCCGAGGGCGGAGTTCCTCACTCTGAAGACAAGGTTCCGTACTCTGAGGAAAAGGTACCTCACCCTGAGGGCAAGGTTCCTCACTATGGGGACAAGCTTTCTCGCTCTGAGGACAAGGGTTCTCACTCTGAATGGAAGTCCCTCACACTGAGGACAAGGTTCCTCACTCTGAATACAGGTTCCTCTCGCTAAGGGGAAGGTTCCTCACTGTTACGAGGACAAGGTTCCTCACTCCGAGGGCGGAGTTCCTCACTCTGAAGACAAGGTTCCGTACTCTGAGGAAAAGGTACCTCACCCTGAGGGCAAGGTTCCTCACTATGGGGACAAGCTTTCTCGCTCTGAGGACAAGGGTTCTCACTCTGAATGGAAGTCCCTCACACTGAGGACAAGGTTCCTCACTCTGAATGCAGGTTCCTCTCTCTAAGGGCAAGGTTCCTCACTGTTACGAGGACAACGTTCCTCACTCCGAGGACAAGGTTCCTCACTCTGAAAACAAGGTTCCGTACTCTGAGGAAAAGGTTCCTCACACTGAGGGGAAGGTTCCTCACCCTGACGACAATGTTCCTCACTATGGGGCCTAGGTTCGTCACTCTGAGGACAAGGTTCCTCACTGAGAAGGCAAGTTCCTCACACTGAGGACAAGGTTCCTCACTCTGAAGGCAGGTTCCTCTCTAAGGGCAAGGTTCCTCACTCTGAGGACAAGGTTCGTCACTCTGAGAACAAGGTTCCTTACTCTGAGGACAAGGTTCCTCACTCTGAGGACAAGGTTCCTTACTCTGAGCACAAGGGTCGTCACACTGAGGACAAGGTTTCTCACACTGAGGACAAAGTTCCTCACTCTGACAACAAGTTTCCTCACACTGAGAACAAGGTTCCTCACACTGAGGACAAGGTTCCTCACTCTGACAACAAGGTTCTTCAGTCTGACGATAAGGTTCCTCACGCTTTGACAAGGTGCTTCACACTGAGGACAAGGTTCCTCACTCTGAGAACAAGGTTCCTCACTCTGAGGACAAGGTTCCTGACACTGAGGAAAAAGGTTCCTCACACTGAGGTTAAGGTTCCTCACTCTGAGGACAAGGTTCCTCACTCTGAGGAAAAGGTTCGTCCCTCTGAGCTCAAGGTCCTTCACAGTGAGAACAATGTTTCTCACACTGAGGACAATGTTCCTCACTCTGAGGACAAGGTTCCTCACTCTGACAACAAGGTTCTTCAGTCTGACGATAAGGTTCCTCACGCTGGGACAAGGTGCTTCACACTGAGGACAAGGTTCCTCACTCTGAAAACAAGGTTCCTCACTCTGAGGACAAGGTTCCTGACACTGAGGAAAAAAGTTCCTCACACTGAGGAGAAGGTTCTTCACTCTGAGAACAAGGTTCCACACACTGAGGACAAGGTTCCTCACCCTGAAGACAAGGTTCCTCACACTGAGGACAAGGTTCCTCACTCTGAGGACAAGGTTCCTCACTCTGAGGACCAGGCTCTTCACAAGGAGGACAAGGTTCCTCACACTGAGGACAATGTTCCTCACTCCGCGAACAAGGTTCCTCACACTGAGGTTAAGGTTCCTGACTCTGAGGAGAAGGTTCCTCACTCTGAGGAAAAGGTTCGTCCCTCTGAGCTCAAGGTTCTTCACAGTGAGAACAAAGGTTCTCACAATGAGGACAATGTTCCTCATTCTGAGGACAAGGTTCCGCCCTCTGAAGGCAGGTTCCTCAGACTGAGGACAAGGTTCCTCGCTCTGAGAACAAGGTTCCTCACTCTGAGGACAAGGTTCCTCACTCTGAGAACAACGTTCCTCACTCTGAGGACAAGGTTCCTCACCCTGAGGACAAGGTTCCTAACTCTGAGGACAAGGTTTCTCATTCTGAGGAAAAGGTTCCTCACTCTGAAGTCAGGTTCCTCACTCTGAGGACAAGGTTCCTCACTCTCAGGACAAGGTTCCTCACGCTGAGGACAAGGTTCCGCACTCTGAGAAGAAGGTCCCTCACTCTGAGGACAAGGTTCCTCACTCTGAGGACAGGGTTCTTCACTCTGAGGAAAAGGATCCTCACACTGAGGACAAGGTACCTCACTCTGAAGACAAGGTTGCTCACTCTGAGGAATAGGTTCATCACTCTGAGGACAGGTTCCTCACTCTGAGGACAAGGTTCATCACTCTGAGGAGAAGGTTCCACACTCTGAGGATAAGGTTCCTCACTCTGAAGGCAGGTTCCTCACTCTGAGGACAAGGTTCCTCACTCTGACAACAAGGTTCCTCACTCTGAGGACAAGGTTCCTCAGACTGAGTACAAGGTTCCGCACTCTGAAGGCAGGTTCCTCACACAGAGGACAAGTTTCCTCGTTCTGAGGACAACATTCCTAACTCTGAGGACAAGGTTCCTCACACTGAGGACAAAGTTCCTCACTATGAGGACAAGGTTGCTCATTCTGAGGACAAGGTTCCTCACTCTGAAGACAATGTTCCTCACTCTGAAGTCAGATTCCTCACACTGAAGACAAGGTTCTTCACTCTGAGGACAAGGTTCTTCACACCGAGGACAAGCGTCCGCACTCTGACAACAAGGTTCCTCACTGTGAGGGCTAAGTTCCTCACTCTGAGGACAAGGTTCCTCACTCTGAGGAAAACGTTCCTCACACTGAGGACAAGGCTCCTCACTCTGAGGACAAGGCTCCTCACTCTGAGGACAAGGTTCCTGATACTAAAGACAAGGTCCCTCACTCTGAGAACGAGGTTCCTCACTCTGAGGACAAGGTTTCTCACTCTGAGGACAAGGTTCCTCACTCTGAGGACAAGGTTCTTCACACTGAGGAAAAGGTTCCTAACTCTCAGGAAAACGTTCCTCACACTGAGGACAAGGCTCCTCACTCTGAGGACAAGGCTCCTTTCTCTGAGGACAAGGTTCCTCACACTGAGGAGAAGGTTCCTCACTCTGCGGACAAGGTTCCTCACACTGAGGACAAGGTTCCTCACTCTGACGACAATGTTGCTCACTATGAGGACAAGGATCCTCACTGTGAGGACAAGGTTCCTTACTCTGAGAACAAGGTTCCTCACTCTGAGGATAAGGTTCCTCACTCTGAAGTCAGGTTCCTCACTCTGAGGACAAGGTTCCTCACTCTGACAACAAGGTTCCTCACTCTGAGGACAAGATTCCTCACACTGAGTACAAGGTTCCGCACTCTGAAGGCAGGTTCCTCACACAGAGGACAAGTTTCCTCTTTCTGAGGACAACATTCCTAACTCTGAGGACAAGGTTCCTCACACTGAGGACAAGGTTCCTCACTATGAGGACAAGATTGCTCATTCTGAGGACAAGGTTCCTCACTCTGAGGACAATGTTCCTCACTCTGAAATCAGGTTCCTCACACTGAAGACAAGGTTCTTCACTCTGAGGACAAGGTTCTTCACACTGAGGACAAGGTTCTTCACACTGAGGACAAGCGTCCGCACTCTGACAACAAGGTTCCTCACTGTGAGGACTAGGTTCCTCAGTCTGAGGACAAGGTTCCTCACTCTGAGGAAAACGTTCCTCACACTGAGGACAAGGCTCCTCACTCTGAGGACAAGGCTCCTCACTCTGACGATAAGGTTCCTGATACTACAGACAAGGTACCTCACTCTGAGAACGAGGTTCCTCACTCTGAGGACAAGGTTTCTCACTCTGAGGACAAGGTTCCTCACTCTGAAATCAGGTTCCTCACTCTAAGGACAAGGTTCCTCGCTCTGAGGACAAGGTTCTTCACACTGAGGAAAAGGTTCCTCACTCTCAGGAAAACGTTCCTCACACTGAGGACAAGGCTCCTCACTCTGAGGACAAGGCTCCTTTCTCTGAGGACAAGGTTCCTCAGTCTGAGGAGAAGGTTCCTCACTCTGCGGACAAGGTTCCTCACACTGAGGACAAGGTTCCTCACTCTGACGACAATGTTGCTCACTCTGAGGACAAGGTTCCTCACTGTGAGGACAAGGTTCCTCACTCTGAGGACAAGGTTCCTCACTCTCAGGACATGGTTCCTCACTCTGAGGACAAGGTACCTCACTCTGAGGACGATGTACCTCACACTAAGGACAAGGTTCCTCACCCTGAAAACAAGGTTCCTCACTCTGAGAACAAGGTTCCTCACTCTGAGAACAAGGGTTCCTCAATCTGAGGACAAGATTCCTCACACTGAGGACAAGTTTCTTCACTCTGAGAAGAAGGTTCCTCATTTTGAGGACAAGGTTCCTCACTCTGAGGGCGAAGTTCCCCACACTGAGGACAAGTTACCTCACTCGGAGGACGAGGTCCTCACTCTGAGGACAAGGTCCTCACTCTGAGGACAAGGTTCCTCGCTCTGAGGACAAGGTTCCTCACTCTGAGGACAAGGTTCCTCACTCTGAGGACAAGGTTCCTCACTCTGAGCTAAAGGTTCCTCACACTGAGGACAAGTGTCCTCGCTCTGAGGACAAGTTTCCTCACCCAGAGGACAAGGTTCCTCACACTTAGGACAAGGTTCCTCACTCTGAAAACAAGGTTTCACACTCTGAGGACAAGGTTTTTCACACTGAGGACAAGGGTCCGCACTCTGACAACAAGGTTCCTCAATCTGAGGACAAGGTTCCTCACTCTGAGGACAAGGTTCCTCACTCTGAGGAAAACGTTCCTCACACTGAGGACAAGGCTACTCAGTCTGAGGACAAGCCTCCTCACTCTGAGAACAAGGTTCCTCACTCTTTGGAGAAGGATCCTCACTCTGAGGACAACGTTCATCCCTCTGAGGACAAGGTTCCTCACTCTGAGGACAAGGGTCCTCACTCTAAGGACAAGGGTCTTCACACTGAGGACAACTTTCCTCACTCTGACGACAAGGTTCCTCACTCTGAGGAGAAGGTCCTCACCCTGTGGGCAAGGTTCCTCACACTGAGGACAAGTTTCCTCACCCTGAGGACAAGGATCTTCACTCTGAGGACAAGCTCCTCACTCTGAGGACTAGGTTCCGCCCTTTGAAGGCAGGTTCCTCAGACTGAGGACAAGGTTCCTCGCTCTGAGGTCAAAGTTCCTCACTCTGAGGACAAGGTTCCTCACACTAAAGACAAAGCTCCTCACTCTGAGAACAAGGTTCCTCACTCTGAAGTCAGGTTCCTCAATTTTGAGGAAAAGCTTCCTCACTCTGAGGACAAGGTTCTTCACACTGAGGACAAGGTTCCGCACTCGGAGAAGAAGGTTCATGACTCTGAGGAAAATGTTCCTCACACTAAGGACAAGGTTCCTCACACTAAAGACAAGGTTCCGCACTCTGAAAACAAGGTTCCTCACTCTGAAGACAAGGTTTCTCACTCTGACGACAAGGTTCGTCACTCTGAATTCACGTTCCTCAATTTTGAGGAAAAGGTTCCTCACTCTGAGGACAAGGTCCTTCACACTGAGGACAAGGTTTCTCACTCTGAGGACAAGGTTCCTCACTCTGAGGACAAGGTTCCTCACTCTGAGGACAAGGTTCCTAACTCTGAGGACAAGTTTCTTCACACTGAGGACAAAGGTCCGCACTCTGACAATAAGGTTCAGCACTCTGAGCACAAGGCTCCTCACTCTGAGGACAAGGCTCCTCACTCTGAGGACAAGGTTCCTCACTCTGAAAGCTGGTTCATCACTCTGAGGACAAGGTTCTTCATACTGAGGACAAGGTTTCTCACACTGCGGACAAGGTTCCTCACTCTGAGAACAAGGTTCCTCACACTGAGGACAAGGTTCCTCACACTAAGGACAAGGTTCCTCACTCTGAAAACAAGGTTCCTCACTCTGAGAACAAGGTTCCTCACTCTGAGAACAAGGGTTCCTCAATCGGAGGACAAGGTTCATCACACTGAGGACATGGTTCCTCACATTGAGAACAAGGTTCCTCACTGTGAGAACAAGGTTCCTCACTCTGAGGGCAAGGTTCCTCACACTGAGGACAAGTTTCCACACTCTGAGGACAAGGTTCCTCACTCCGAGAAGAAGGTTCCTCACTTTGAGGACAAGGTTCCTCTTTCTCAGGGCAAGGGTCCTCACTCTGAGGACAAGGTTCCTCACTCTGAGGACAAGGTTCCTCACTCTGAGGAAAAGGTTCCTCCCACTGAGGACAAGGCTTCTCACTCTGAGGACACGGTTCTTCACCCTGAGGACAAGGTTCATCACTCTGAGGACAAGGTTCCTCACTCTGAGGACAAGGTTACGCACTCTGAAGGCAGGTTCCTCACACTGAGGAGAAGTTTCCTCGTTCTGAGGACAAGTTTCCTCACTCTGAGGATAAGGTTCTTCACACTGAGGACAAGGTTCCCCACTCTGAAGACAAGGTTCCTCACTCGGAGGACAAGCTTTCTCACTCTCAGGACAATGTTCCTCACTCTGAAGTCAGGTTCCTCACTCTGAAGACAAGGTTCCACACTCTGAGGACAGGGTCCTTCAAACTGAGGAGAATGCTCCGCACCCTGACAACAAGCTTCCTCACTCTGAGGACAAGGTTCCTCACTCTGAGGACAAGGTTCCTCACTCTGAGGAAAACGTTCCTCACACTGACGACAAGGCTCCTCACTCTGAGGACAAGGCTCCTCACTCTGAGGACAAGGTTCCTCACTCTGAGGACAGGGTCCTTCACACTGAGGAGAAGGCTCCGCACCCTGACAACAAGCTTCCTCACTCTGAGGACAAGGTTCCTCACTCTGAGGACAAGGTTCCTCACTCTGAGGAAAACGTTCCTCACACTGACGACAAGGCTCCTCACTCTGAGGACAAGGCTCCTCACTCTGAGGACAAGGTTCCTCACTCTGAGGACAGGGTCCTTCACACTGAGGAGAAGGCTCCGCACCCTGACAACAAGCTTCCTCACTCTGAGGACAAGGTTCCTCACTCTGAGGACAAGGTTCCTCACTCTGAGGAAAACGTTCCTCACACTGACGACAAGGCTCCTCACTCTGAGGACAAGGCTCCTCACTCTGAGGACAAGGTTCCTCACTCTGAGGACAGGGTCCTTCACACTGAGGAGAAGGCTCCGCACCCTGACAACAAGCTTCCTCACTCTGAGGACAAGGTTCCTCACTCTGAGGACAAGGTTCCTCACTCTGAGGAAAACGTTCCTCACACTGACGACAAGGCTCCTCACTCTGAGGACAAGGCTCCTCACTCTGAGGACAAGGTTCCTCACTTTGAGGAGAAAGTTCCTCACTCTGAGGACAAGGTTCCTCACACTGAGGACAAGGTTCCTCAGACTGAGCACAAGGTTCCTCGCTCTGAGGAAAGGTTGCTCACACTAAAGACAAGGTTCCTCACTCTGAGAACATGGTTCCTCGCTCTGAGGACAAGGTTTCTCACTCTGATGAAAAGGTTCCTCACCCTGAGGCAAGGCTCCTCACTCTGAGGACCAGGTTCCTCACTCTGAGGACAAGGTTCTTCACTCTGAGGACAAGTTTCTCACTCTGAGAACAAGTTTCCGCACTCTGAAGGCAGATTCCTCACACTGAGGACACGTTTCCTCGTTCTGACGACAAGTTTCCTCACTCTGAGGACAAGGTTCCTCACATTGATGACAAGTTTCCTTACTCTGGGGACAGGATTACTCACACTGAGGACAAGTTTCCTCACTCTGAGGACAAGGTTCCTCACACTGAGGACAAGGTTCCTCACTCTGAGGACAAGGTTTCTCACTCTGAGGAAAAGGTTCCTCACACTGAGGACAAGGTTCCGCACTCTGACAACAAGTTTCCTCACTCTGAGGACAAGGTTCCTCACTCTGAGGACAAAGTTCCTCACTCTGAGCAAAGGTTCCTCACACTGAGGACAAGGATCCTCACACTGAGGACAAGTTTCCTCGTTCTGAGGACAAGTTTTCTCACTCTGAGGACAATGTTCCTCACACTGAGGACAAGCTTGCTAACTCTGAGGACAATTTACCTCAATCTGAGGTCGAGGTTCCTCACACTGAGGACAAGCTTCCTCACACTGAAGACGAGTTTCCTCACTCTGAGGACAAGGTTCCTCACTCTGTGGACAAGGTTCTTCAGTCTGAGGACAACGTTCCTCGCTATGAGGACAAGGTTCCGCTCTCTGAAAGCAGCTTCCGGACACTGAGGACAAGTTTCCTCACTCTGAGGGCAAGGTTCCTCATTCTGAGGGCAATGTTCCTCACTCTGAAGCCAGGTTCCTCACTCTGAAGACAAAGTTCCTCACTCTGAGGACAAGGTTTTTTACACTGAGCACAAGGGTCCACACTCTGACAACAAGGTTCCTCACTCTGAGGACAAGGTTCCTCACTCCGAGGACAAGGTTTCTCACTCTGAGGACAAGGTTCCTCACTCTGAAGCCAGGTTTTTCATTCTGAGGACCAGGTTCCTCACTCTGAGGACAGGATTCTTCACACTGAGGACAAGGTTCCACACTCTGACAACAAGATTCCTCACTCTAAGGACAAGGTTGTTCACACTGACCACAAGGGTCCGCATTCTTACAACAAGGTTCCTCACTCTGAGGACAAGGTTCCTCACTCTGAAGACAAAGTTCCTCACTCTGAGGACAAGGTTTTTCACACTGAGCACAAGGGTCCGCACTCTGACAACAAGGTTCCTCACTCTGAGGACAAGGTTCCTCACTCCGAGGACAAAGTTTCTCACTCTGAGGACAAGGTTCCTCACTCTGCAGCCAGGTTTTTCACTCTGAGGACCAGGTTCCTCACTCTGAGGACAGGATTCTTCACACTGAGGACAAGGTTCTTCACTCTGAGGACAAGGTTCCTCGCTATGAAGACAAGGTTCCGCTGTCTGAAAGCAGGTTCCTCACACTGAGGACAAGTTTCCTCGTTCTGAGGGAAAGTTTCCTCACTCTGACGACAAGGTTTCTCACTGTGAGGACAAGTTTCTTCAATCTGAAGTCAGGTTACTCACTCTGAGGACAAGGTTCCTCACACTGAGGACAAGGTTCTTCACACTGAGATCAAGGTTCCGCTCTCTGAGAAGAAGTTTCATGACTCTGAGGACAAGGTTCCTCACTCTGAGGACAAGGTTCCTCACTTTGAAGAAAAGGTTCCTCACACTGAGGACAAGGTTTCTCACTCTGAGGACAAGGTTCCTCACCTTGAGGACAAGGTTCCTCACTCTGAGGACAAGGTTCCGCACTCTGAAGGCAGGTCCCTCACTCTGGGGAAAACGTTCCTCACTCTGAGGACAAGGCTCCTCAATCTGAGGAGAAGGCTCCTCACACTGAGGACAAGGTTCCTCACTCTGATGACAAGGTTCCTCACACTGAGGGCAAGGTTCCTCACACTGAGGACAAAGTTCCTCACTCTGAGGGCAACGTTGCTCACACTGAGGACAGGGTTCCTCACTCTGAGAACGATGTTCCTCACTCTGAGGACAGGGTTCCTAACACTAAGCACAACGTTCAACACTCTGAAGACAAGGTTCCTCACTGTGAGGACAAGGTTCCTCACTGTGAGGACAAGGTTCCTCACTGTGAGGACAAGGTTCCTCACACTGAGGACAAGGTTCATCACTCTGAGGACAAGGTTCTTCACACTGAGGACGAGGTTCTTCACACTGAGGACAATGCTCCTCACTCTGAGGACAAGGTTCCTCATTCCGAGGAGAAGGTTCCTCACACTGAGGAAAAGGTTCCTCACTCTGAGGACAAGTTTCCTCACTCGGAAAGCAGGATCGTCACTCTGAGGACAAGGATCATCACTCTGAGGACAAGGTTCCTGACTCTGAGGACAAGGTGCTTCACACTGAGGACAAGGTTCCTCACACTGAGAACAAGGTACCTCATTATGAGGACAAGGTTCGTCCCTCGGAGGACAAGGTTCCTCACACTGAGGACAAGGTTCGTCAATCTCAGGACAAGGTTCTTCACACTGAGGACAAGGTTCCTCACACTGAGGACAAGGTTCCTCACTCTGAGGACATGGTTCCTCACACTGAGGACAAGGTTCCTCACTCTGTGGACATGGTTCCTCCTCGGTCGACAAGGTTCCTCACCTGAGAACAAGGCTCCTCACACTGAGGACAAGGTTCCTCACTCTGAGGACAAGGTTCCTCACTCTGAAGATAAGGTTCATCTCTCTGAGGACAAGGTTCTTCACACTGAAGACGAGGTTCCTCACACTGAGGACAAGTTTCCTCACCCTGAGAACAAGGTTTCCCACTCTGCGGACCAGGTTTTTCACACTGAGGACAAGGTTCCTAACACTGAGGACAAGGTTCCTGACTCTGAGGACAAGGTGCTTCACACTGAGGACAAGGTTCCTCACACTGAAAACAAGGTACCTCATTATGAGGACAAGGTTCGTCCCTCGGAGGACAAGGTTCCTCACACTGAGGACAAGGTTCGTCAATCTCAGGACAAGGTTCTTCACACTGAGGACAAGGTTCCTCACTCTGTGGACATGGTTCCTCCTCGGACGACAAGGTTCCTCACTCTGAGAACAAGGCTCCTCACACTGAGGACAAGGTTCCTCACTTTGAGGACAAGGTTCCTCACTCTGAAGATAAGGTTCATCTCTCTGAGGACAAGGTTCTTCACACTGAAGACGAGGTTCCTCACACTGAGGACAAGGTTCCTCACTCTGAGAACAAGGTTTCCCACTCTGCGGACCAGGTTTTTCACCCTGAGGACAAGGTTCCTAACACTGAGGACAAGGTTCCTCACTCTGTGACAAAGGTTCCTCACACTGATGACAAGGTTCCTCACTCTGAGAACAAGGTTCCTCATTATGAGGACAAGGTTCGTCCCTCGGAGGACAAGGTTCCTCACACTGACTTCCTCACATCGAGGACAATGTTTTTAATCTGAGGACAAGGATCCTCACTCTGAGGATAAGGTTCCTCACCCTGAGGACAACGTTACTCACACTGAGGAAAGGTTCGTCACTCTGAGGACAAGGTTCTCACTGTGAGGAAAGGTTCCGCACACTGAGGACAACGTTCCTCAGTCTGAAGACAATGTTTCTACACTGAGGACAAGGTTCCTCACACTGAGAACAAGGTTCCTCACTCTGAGTACAAGGTTGCTCACACTGAGGACAAGGCTCCTCACTCTGAGACAAGGCTCCTCACTCTGAGGACGAGGTTCCTCACTCTGAGGAGATTGTTCCTCACTCTGAGGACAATGTTCTTCACTCTGAGTACAAGGTTCCTCACTCCGAGCACAAGGTTCCTCACGCTGAGGACGAGGTACCTCACTCTGAGGACAAGGCTCCTCACTCTGAGGACGAGGATGCTCACTCTGAAGACAGGTTCCTCACATCGAGGACAATGTTTTTAATCTGAGGACAAGGATCCTCACTCTGAGGATAAGGTTCCTCACTCTGAGGACAACGTTACTCACACTGAGGACAAGGTTCGTCACTCTGAGGACAAGGTTCCTCTCTCTGAAGACAAGGTACCTCACACAGAGGACAATGTTCCATACTCTGAGGACAAGGTTCCTCACACTGAGGACAAGGTTCGTCATTGTGAGGACAAGGTTGCTCACTCTGAGGACAAGTTTCCTCACTCTGAAGCAGGTTCTTCACTCTGAGGACAAGGTTTCTCATTCCGAGGACCAGGTTCTTCACTCTGAGGACAAGGTTGCTCACTTTGAGGACAAGGTTCTTCACTCTGAACGCAGGTTCCTCACACTAAGGAGAAGGATGTCACTCTGAAGGCAGGTTCCTCACACTGATGAGAAGGTTCCTCACTCTGAGGACAAGGTTCCTCACTCTGAGGAAAAGTTTCCTCATTCTGAAAGCAGGTTCCTCACACTGAGGACAACGGTGCTCACTCTGAAGACAGGTTCCTCACATCGAGGACAAGGTTTTTAATCTGAGGACAAGGATCCTCACTCTGAGGACAAGGTTGCTCTCTCTGTGGACAATGTCCTCACTCCGTGAACAAGGTTCCTCACTCTGAAAGCAGGTTCTTCACTCTGAGGAAAATGTTCGTCACACTGAGGAGAAGGTTTCTTACTCCGAGGAAAAGGTTCCTCACTCTGAGAACAAGGTTCCTCACTCTGAGGTTCCTCACTCTGAGGACCTCTGAGAACAAGGTTCCTCACTCTGAGGACTATGAGGTCAAGGTTCCTCACTTTGAGGAAAAGGTTCCTCACTCTGAAGGCAGGTTCCTCACACTGAGGACAATGTTCCTCACTCTGGTGACAAGGTGCCTCACTCTGAGGAAAAGGTTCCTCAATACAAGGTTCCGGTTCCTCACTCTGAATGTTCCTCACACTGTGGACGCGTTTTCTCACTCAATGTTCCTCACTCTGAGGACAAGGTTCCTCACTCTGATGAGAAGGTTCCTCACTCTGAGGACAAGTTTCGTGACTCTGAGGTCAAGGTTCCTCACTCTGAGGACAAGGATCCTCATACTGAGGACAGTGTTCTTCACTCAGAGAACAAGGTTCCTCACTCTGAGAACAAGGTTCCACACTCTGAGGACAAGGTTGCTGACTCTGAGGAGAAGGTTCCAACACTGACGAAAAGGTTCCTCATTCTGAGAACAAGTTTCGTCACTCTGAAGACAAGGTTCCTCACTCTTTGGACAAAGTACTCACTCATCCTCTCACTCCGAGGACAAGGTTCCTCACTCTGATGAGAAGGTTTCTCACTCTGAGAACAAGTTTCGTGAACCTGAGGACAAGGTTTCTCACTCACAGGAAAAGGTTCCTCACTCTGAGGACAGGGTTCCTCACACTGAAAGGTTCCTCAAGGCAGGTTCCTCACACTGAGGACAATGTTCCTCACTCTGGGACAAGGTTCCTCACTCTGAGGAAAGGTTCCTCAGGTTCCTCACCCTGAGGACAAGGTTCCTCACTCTGAGAACAAGGTTCCTCACTCTGAGGACAAGGTTCTGAGGACAAGGTTCCTCACTCTGAAGACAACTAAAGAGAAATCCTCACTCTCCTCACTCTGAGGACAAGGGTTCCTCAATCTGAGGACAAGGTTCCTCATTCTGAGGACAAGGGTCCTCAAACTAAGGACAAGGTTCCTCCCTCTGAAAACAAGGTTTCTCACTCTGAAAACAAGGTTCCTCACTCTGAGAACAATGTTCCTCACTCTGAGGACAAGGGTTCCTCAATCTGAGGACAAGGTTCCTCATTCTGAGGACAAGGGTCCTCAAACTAAGGAGAAGGTTCCTCACTCTGAAAACAAGGTTCCTCACTCTGAGGACGAGGTTCCTCACACTGAGGACAAGGTTCCTCACACTAAAGAGACGTTTCCTAACCCTGAAAACAAGGTTCCTCACTCTGAGAACAATGTTCCTCACTCTGAGGACAAGGGTTCCTCAATCTGAGGACAAGGTTCCTCATTCTGAGGACAAGGGTCCTCAAACTAAGGACAACTCTTTTCTCACTCTGAAAACAAGGTTCCTCACTCTGAGAACAAGGGTTCCACAATCTGAGGACAAGGTTCCTCACACTGAGGAGATGTTTCCTCACTCTGAGAACAAGGTTGCTCACTCTGAGGAAAAGGTTCCTCACTCTGAAGGCAAGGTTGCTCACACTGACGACAAGTTTCCTCCTGACAAGGCTCCTTTCTCTGAGGACAAGGTTCCTCACTCTGAGGAGAAGTTTCCTCACTCTGCGGACAAGGTTCCTCACACTGAGGACAAGGTTCCTCACTCTGAGGACAATGTTGCTCACTCTGAGGACAAGGTTCTCACTGTGAGGACCAGGTTCCTCACTCTGAGGACAAGGTTCCTCACTCGGAGGACAAGGTTCCTCACTATGAGGACAAGGTACCTCAATCTGAGGATCCTCACACTGAGGACAAGGTTCCTCACTCTGAAAGCAGGTTTCTCACTCTGAGGACAAGGTTCATCAATGTGAGGACAAGGTTCCTCACTGTGAGGAGAAGGTGCTTGACACTGAGGACAAGATTCCTCACACTGTGAACAAGGTTCCTCATTATGAGGACAAGGACAAGTTTCCTCGTTCTCAGGACAAGTTTCCTCACTCTGAGGACAAGGTTCCTCACACTGAGGACAAGCTTCCTCACTCTGGGGACAATGTACCTCACTCTGAGGACAAGGTTCCTCACACTGAGGACAAGGTTCCTCACACTAAGGACAAGGTTCCTCATCTGAAAACATTCCTCACTCTGATTCCTCAATCTGAAGACAAGTTTTCTCACACGGAGGACATGGTTCCTCACACTGAAAACAAGGTTCCTCACTCTGAGAACAAGCTTCCTCGCTCTGAGGTCAAGGTTCCTCACTCTGAGGGCAAGGTTCCTCAAACTGAGGACAAGGTTCCTCGCTCTGAGGACAAGGCTGCCCACTCTGAACACAAAGTTCCTCACACTAAAGACAAGGTTCCTGACTCTGAGAACAAGGTTCCTCACTGTGGGACAAGGTTCCTCACCCTGAGGACAAGGTTTCTCACTCTGAGGACAAGGTTCCTCATTCTGAGGACAAGGTACTCACCCTGAGGACGAGGTTCCTCACACTGAGGACAAGATTCCTCACACTGAGGACAAGGTTCCTCATTCTGAGGACAAGGTTCCTCGCTCTGAGGACAAGTTTGCTCACTCTGAAGTCAGGTTCCTCACTCTGACGACAAGGTTTCTCACTCTGAGAACAAGGTTCCTCACTCTGAGGACAAGGTTCTTCACACTGAGGACAAGGTTCCGCACTCTGAGAAGAAGGTTCATGACTCTGAGTTTCTCACTCTGAGGACAAGATTCCTCACTCTGAAGACAGGTTCCTCACTCTGAGGACAACGTTCATCCTCTGAGGACAATGATCCTCGCTCACAACGTTCCACGCTCTGAGGACACGGTTCCTCACTTTGAGGGCAAGGTTCCTCACACTAAGGACAAGGTTCCTCACTCTGAAAACAAGGTTCCTCACTCTGAGGACAAGGTTCCTCACTCTGAGGACAAGGTAAATCACTCTGAGGTCCACTCTGAGGACAAGATTCCTCACTCTGAATGCAGGTTCCTCACTCTGAAGACAAGGTTCATCACTCTGAGGACGATGCTCTTCACTCTGAGGACAGGGTTCTTTACAATGAGGACAAGGGTCCGCACCCTGACAACAAGGTTCCTCACTCCGAGCACAAGGTTCCTCACTCTGAGGACAAGGTAAATCACTCTGAGGACAAGGTAAATCACTCTGAGGTCAGTTTCCTAACTCTGAGGACAAGGTTCCCCACTCTGAGGACAAGGTTCCTCACTCTGAGGAAAAGGTTCCTCACACTGAGGACAAGGCTCCTCACACTGAGGACATGGTTCCTCACTCAGGGGACAAGGTTCCTCACTCTGAGGACAAGGTTCCCCTCTCTGAGGACAAGATTCCTCACTCTGAATGCAGGTTCCTCACTCTGAAGACAAGGTTCATCACTCTGAGGACGATGCTCTTCACTCTGAGGACAGGGTTCTTCACAATGAGGACAAGACAAGGACGACAAGGTTCTTCACTCTGATGAAAAGGTTCCTCACGGATCCTCACTCTGAGGACAAGGTTCCTCACTCTGAGGACAAGGTTCTCCACTCTGAGGAAAAGGTTCCTCGCTCTGAGGAGAAGGTTCCGCATTCTGAAGGCAAATTCCTCACACTGAGGACAAGTTTCCTCGTTCTGAGGACAAGTTTCCTCACTCTGAGGACAAGGTTCCTCGCACTGAGGACAAGGTACCTCAACCTGAGGACGAGGTTCCTCACACTGAGGACAAGGTTCCTCACTCTGAGGACAAGGTTCTTCACTCTGAGGACAAGGTGCCTCGCTATGAGGACAAGGTTCCGCTCTCTGAAAGCAGGTTCCTCAAACTGAGGACAAGTTTCCTCGTTCAGAGGGCAAGTTTCCTCACTCTGAGGACAAGGTTCCTCACTCTGAGGTCACTCTGAGGACAAGGTCTGAAGATTTTCCTCACTCTGAGGACCAGGTTACAAGGTTCCTCACTCTGAGGTCAAGGTTCTTCACACTGAGGAGAAGGGTCCGCACTCTGACAACAAGGTTCCTCACTCTGAGGACAAGGTTCCTCACCCTGAGGACAAGGTACCTCGCTCTGAGGTTACAAATGAAAAATCGTCTAAAAATATCAATTTTAATTACAAAATTATCAATTTTCCAACATATGTATGTTATGATATTAAATATAAGCTTCAATTTAAGATAAAATTCAACCACAAACGTTTCGCAAAACGTTTTAAAGTGTTCTTTATAAAACTAAAGTCGAGACTAAAGCCCCGTTTACACTACGCTCAATTTTTGGTACGGCACGGATAAAATTGGTACCCGTAGCACTTTTTTGGTTCTTGGACTATCTACTTAGCTAAGCCTCGTTTACACTACGCTCAATTTTTGGTACCGTACCACTTTTTGATTCTTGGACTACCTAAATAGGTAGTCCAAGAACCAAAAAAGTGGTACGGGTACCAATTTTACCCATGCCGAACGTTAACCAAAAATTGAGCGTAGTGTAAACGGGGCTTAAACTGCCTTTAATTAAATGGCCTTATCGATAAACTTTGAGTTTGCAATAAAATGATTTCAAATTCTCGCATGCAAATAACTTTGCTTTCTTTCAATTTAAAAAATTCAAAATAATAAAAAAGGGAATCAATATTAAAGATACACTGAAATTATATGCTGTCTTGTTTAGTTGTTTCATATACGCAAAGGCCGTCGGATTTTAAAGCAATTATAAAATCAATATTTAAAACAAATTTACCTCCGTTAACGTCGGCTCCCTTCTTTTAGACGATTCTTTCGCCCTTTCTTTCTTGAAATTTACAAAATCTTGCAAAAATGCGTGCAAAAATGAAATATATTTGCAAGAAATTTATCAACTCATCAAATTAAGACATGTTTGCTATTTCGCGGTCGTCATACAGTCGTTATAACACAGAGTAGAGACATGCAGAGACGTAACTAGTGTACCACATTTTTTTGTGCGCATGCTCGGCAAGTTACTAGATGCATGCATCTGATTGGATGGCGACCTGATGACGACTCACTTTAAACTTGCCGAGCAATCGCAGTTGATCATGTTTCGCCCGGTCGCCTGGAAAAAAGTGAGTATGTCTGGGTTTACTTAGTGGTACCTCGGGTTCAGCTGCACGTGGACTTCTTGGTCTCTGGACGGTCGGAGAAGAAATAGACAAACGAAAGCTTCTGTTTCTCAGACGACTAATATGTGCAAGTGAGGACTGTGTACATCGCAGGGTATTGTTGTTTGTCTTTTTTAAACTAATTTTAATTAATTATTTATAATTGTAAATATTCGTATCTTCAAATATGGAGGCATTAAAGAATTATACTGAGTTGAAATGCAGCAAGTTCAATGCCATCTCTTTCGAGGTCACAACGCCGACTTTCTGTAATGTGTAAAAGGTTTTCTGTAATCGCGATTTGAACTCCACCGCCAATTCTCCCGGTCCTGTACTGTCTCGACGAAAAATATTGAAACCGGGGAGTAGTTCTGTATCAAGGATTGTATTGTTTAACCCGAACCACGCGGAAAATCAACCAAGCAAAAAGGACTGTATAGACTGTTTAGAGAAATAAAATATTTTTATGGGAACTAACACTTTCGAACACGCTGAGTTCAAATCCGAAAACTTCCCGCACCGTAGATCGGCATTTTTCTCACAAACTGCTATTATCTTCGCTAATTTCCCAACAAATTTTTTCATTGTTCAACGACACGGATGGAACTCAAAATACTAATTCCTATGAACCAGTCTCTACATTGAACAAAAGACCGGTCTTGCTCGAATTATTTTGAGTTATGTAATTTTAAACGTGTTGGACGTAAACAACATATCTTGTCTACAACTTTGGGAAGGTACCGATATCGCTTTGTAAAATCCTCAGTTCTGGCTGAATCTCTATAAAATCACAAGGACGTCAATTTTAAGTCATTGGGCCATATTCTGGGATGAGAAATAATTCTTACAGCGATCAAAATGTTTTATACAACGATGTAAAATGGTAATCTTATGGAATGGTCAGCACTTACATTTCCAACACAGTTTCTGAGATTGTACTCTATTTCAAGGCATCTGTAGCAAAGACGTTAATTTGCTTCAATCTGACAATTGTATTTTACGAATCAACGATCAATGGACTTTCTCGATCTTATCTTTGCATAGTCAAGCTGTTTCAGGCTGCATGAAGGAATGTTTTTCCGGGTGTGTAATCGAAAAAAATTTGAGACTTATTATTATGCTGTTTTGATTCTCACGTTCTATTATATTTCAAGGCCCTTGTGGCAAAGACTTGAATTTGGGCCACCTGAAAATTGTTTTTTAGCAATCTACAATCTATAGATTTCTGCTAATAGCTGTTTTGCATAGTCGGCCATTTCAGGCTAAAAATAGCAGGTTTTTACCTATTTCAAGGCCCCTGTAGCAAAGACGTCAATTTCGGCAACCTGAAATTTTTATTTTAGGAATCAACGATCATAGACTTTCTGCCGATACCTTATCTTTGTATAGCCAGGCTGTTTCATGCTGCAAAAAAGCAGGTTTTTCGGTGCGTGTAATCGAAAAAATATTTGAGACTAAATATGAAGCCGTTTTGATTCACACGTTCTACTCTATTTCAAGGCCCCTGTAGCAAAGAGTTGAATTTGGCAACCCCGAAAATTGTGTTCTAAGAATCTACGGTCAATAGACGTTCGGTCCATACCAGTGCCGTAGCCAGCTCGATAATTGGGAGGGGCAGATATTCATATATTCGTGTTCTGCGTTATTAATTTCTTTTGAAATCGATTGTTTTTATGGTCTGTGAACACGAATATTTGAATATCTGCCCCCCCCCCCTTATCGAGCTGCTAAGGCACTGGTTGATACATATTCTTGCATAGTTAGGCCGTTAGTGGCTATAAAGTATGATATAGCTGGTTTTTCGGGATGTGTAATCGAAAAAAATTGAAACTTAATATTATGCTGTTTTGTATCTCACATTATTCTCACGTTATATTCTATTTCAAGAACAAATAAAAACCAATAATATGTCTCTTCGCTTAAATACTTACTGCGAGATAAGAGTTCTAAACTGAATTACAATTTAGTGTTAATAAAGTTTTAATTTAGTGTCAGTTATCTGGCCAGTATGTAGTACTCCAATTTTATGCAAACGTAATGTGCTGCTTTTCAAAGGCTTTGATGTCAATGCAGATATCGGTTTAAATATACCTACAATTCGAAGATATGACAATTGCCGTACGGCCTACTTTTACGCGAACGCAAATTACAACTGCAACTTTCATGCTTAATTTTCTCTGTTATCTGGGCATGTAGTAATGTAATTTTTTGCCAATGTAAGGTGCTATTTTGCTTGGGCTTTTCATTGCAGTTATCGCAGTTGAAATATACCTAAAATTCCCGTTAAGATATGACAATTGTCGTACGGCCTACTTTTACGTAAACGCAAATTACAATTGCAACGTTCATGCTTAATTTTATCTGTTATCTGGGCATGTAGTGATGTAATTTTATACAAATGCAATGTGCTATTTTTCAAGGGCTTTTCAATGTAGTTATCGGTTTAATCATACCTAAATTGCCGTTAAGATATGACAATTGCCGTGCGGCCTACTTTTACGCAAACGCAAATTACAACTGCAACTTTCATGCTTAAATTTCTCCGTTATCTGGGCATGTAGTAATGTAATTTTATGCCAATGTAAGGTGCTATTTTTCAAGGGCTTTTCAATGCAGTTATCGATTTAAATATACCTAAAATTCTCGTTAAGATATGACAATTGCCTTATGGGCTACTTTTACGCGTTCTATAAAATTACAATTTTGCAATAATCATGGCAGGCGGAAATACGTTTCTCTTTAAATTACCCGAACAACTGTCTTTACAACAAAGTTGCCCGAGAACGATAGAACATTCGTTGTCAAGAAGCTGGTAGACTCCAGCCATGACTGAGGGGAGACCGAATCGTTAGTCAAAGAAGCGAGGCTTCTTTCAAAACTACATCATGTGAACGTAGTTCAATTCAAGGGAATTTGTGTCGACCAGTGTGCTTTAATCCTTGAACATGTTCAATTTGCATGACTTTGCTTCAATTGGATTTGCTACATAACATGCACTGAACCGAAGATAAGAAGCTGCAAAATACAAGGTCGGTTTCAACCTGTTTTATACTTCGGCGCCAAACGAAAGAGAGTTAATATAATTTTCTCTGTTATCCGGCCGTGTTGCCAAAGTGGCATAAAGTACACGAACGGATAACAGAAAATTAAACATGAATGTGGCAATTGTAATTCGCGTTTGCGTAAAAGTAGGCCGTACGGCAATTGTCATATCTTAACGGGAATTTGAGGTATATTTAAACCGATAACTGCATTGAAAAGCCCTTGAAAAATAGCACGTTGCTTTGGCATAAAATTACATTACTACATGCCGAGATAACAGAGAAAATTAAGAATGAAAGTTGCAGTTGTAATTTGCGTTCGCGTAAAAGTAGGCCGTACGGCAATTGTCATATCTTAACGGAAATTTTAGGTATATTTAAACCGATAACTGCATTGAAAAGCCCTTGAAAAATAGCACATTGCATTGGCATAAAATTACATTACTATATACATGCCCAGATAACAGAGAAAATTAAGGATGAACGTTGCAATTGTAATTTGCGTTTACGTATAGAAAGTAGGCCGTACGGCAATTGTCATATCTTCGAATTGTAGGTATATTTAAACCTATAACTGCATTGACATCAAAGCCTTTGAAAAGCAGCACATTACGTTGGCATAAAATTGGAGTACTACATACCAGATAACTGACACTAAATTAAAACTTAATTAACACTAAATTGT